TATGTTCTTACACGTCTCTCAGTTAAAAGTGTTACTAAGGTAGTTTATGCTACATTCTCTTAGTTCAATCTAACCCTAACATATTTTACAATGGTCCTTTGTATCTAAATGAAATGTGTCACTAATGTAACTTAAGTACGTTGGTTTATATCAGAAAAATATATTGTATCATAAATAAATAAGCCGCTGACATAACTTAAAATACGTTTGTAGTATCCAACAATATTATGTGTTATCTCACTTGTTATTTTAATAACGAATTTTTAGAAATTTATCAGTTATTCAAGGTATATGCACTTTTCGCATAACAAGTCGTTAAACTGCTTTTCTCTAGTTTTGTTCTTTGTCATTCGCGGGAGATAATAACTGGTCTCCCCATGGGATGTGTGGCTGTACTGTTACACTTAGTGTAAGGAACTAGACAGCAGTGGACCCGGGGATCAGCTTTAGTGCGATGGAAACTCGGTCAATTGAGGGTTGTATAGGTTATTTGGAGTTATGGCATGTCCAATGCCGAATGGGGTGGCATGTAGGCTTTCAGCTGTTAGAGCAACCCAACCATATCTCTAAGGTACACACTTCAGTGCCAGTACAACTCTTTTCTAAAACCACTGTCAGAACATGCGTTATTATTTCATTAGTTAGTATGTTGTTATTAACTTTGCAAATAAGATGATTCCAATATTCCTGAAGGAGCATTGTATTATAAATTTATCATAAAACTTATAATAGATTATATAATATTCATTTCAAAGAATTCCAAATCTCATTATGTTTTTTTTTATATGTTTATGTGCAAATTCACTATTGCTTTGTAGGATTTATTAGGTAGCAGTTGGTTCATTGTTTACGTTAAATGAAGGGCTTTGCTATAACTGATTCAGTCTTGACGCTTTAATACAATTATGTTTGGTGGAACGTTGATTTTAAACCAACCTTACAAGCCTGTTAGTGACTGAAACTTTCAGAAAAAACAACGACAAAAACTGTCGTCTGAAGTGTTTAATATTTCATTTTGTTTATAACGGCTTTGTTGAACTAATTATATAAAGTTGGTTACTTTCAGTTACTTTGATTGGAAAGAAGGATTAATCACAATAAGCGCTCTACATTCCTCATATTGAGGAAGTTGCAGCTATCTGCGCATTCCTGCACGTGTTATAGCTTTAGGCTACAAATATTATCTATATAAATCTATAAACTTAGTACACGAGCTACATTAACTGCACACCAGATTTTAATGTGCATATGATTATTGCTTGTTATGCTGCGACTGTATACCGAAATCAAATAATGTTTCTTGCTTTAGGATTATCATACTGTAACTTAAATCGATTCAAATCCTTGCTCGTTTGTCATTAAACCCAATATAAACCTTACCATTTTTACTTTAGAAAAAAACATTTCTTAAGGTATTTAGAAAAATCTTTGTAATTGTTCGCAGACATTGCTATACTTGCGAATTGTTTTCTGAAGTCGATAAAATATAGTAGGAATAATCCAAGAAACTTAGATGATTTTTATTATGTTACATACTACCATTCTCATTCTGAAGACATTAGGTTTTGTTTGTAGAACCATCTTGTAGTTCGTATTGCTGTTTGCTTGTCTTTTATTATATTGGGATGGCCCGAGGACAAATCATTCCAACGCACCTTTGTCGCTGAAAATTATGTAGAACAGGTATAGACTTAGTGTCTAGGTTGTACCAAGAAAAGGCTCTTATTAACAGCATATTGGCACTGGCGCTAAACTTATTTATGGTGCTTTAGACTATACATCTTACAAATTCTAATTGCATATTGAAAGAACTGTATCTGCGGATGAAAAAACTAAAAAAAAAAAACAACAACAGAGTTAGTAACAGAATTTACATTCCCGCTCCTCTTACCCTGAAGTGAACAAATGTCCATCATGTTGCCTCTCAGACCTCCTAAATTATGTATCTCACCATCAAGGAAGTACTAATTTGATGTTCTCAGATGCCATTGTGTACTTAGATATGTACTAATGCTAGGTTTCGAAGCACTCCAAGTTCTTCGTTATAGCCTCCGAATACAGGTAGTTAGACCTGGAAATCAATCAGATCTACAGCTCTATGGTTTTATTGTTCCAATAACTATGGAAGTTTCTTTGAGAGAAATGCATTTTCAACTGTTTTTTTTTACAGCAAAGAAGTACAAACAAAAATGACCAAAGTTATTTGCTAAACTATTTTTTGTGAGGGGTGGGTGGGTTTAAACCATATTTCAATAATTTAAATGCGGAATTACTTAGGTTATATATAAAACTTTAGTAACCTTGCTTTATTTACAAAATGGACATTTACAATATAGTTGTTGAACAGTAAAAAGAAGTTAAGAGCAATAAACTTACCCTATTCCAGTAATAAATTATTCATTAACAGGTCCTAAAGAAGAGCCGGCAATAATATATATATGTAACACAAGTAATATTAAACACAATACATTGTATATAACACACTCCCATTATTACACTTGTTTCAGCAAAACATATACCTTGATGTATTTGAGAACGGCCCGTTTCACCCTAGGGAATCGTATGCACTTTATCTAACACCCAAGGTTCTTTCAGAAGAAAGAAACAATGGACAGAGACGGAGTTTGGAAAATATCTCCAGCAGCATATAGTAAAATAATATCATACAGCAACAACTAACCTTCTGTTTCCAATTTTATCTGTTCGAAACTCAGTGTATAACATCACTAAGTATCATACATTGTTTATTTAACGAGTATTTACTTTACTAAGCCGTTATGATTGGAACGGGTAAAGTAACCGAACAATGGCTTAATTCAAAGCAATTATAAGAGAATAGGAATTAATGTTAAAATATCTTCTATTTTTCATTTGCTTTCTTTAAACTAACACAAGGGAATATTACGTTTACCAAATCAGGCTAAGATTACTATTGCATGAAAGGCCATTTACGAAAGATTTTCAAACAAGAAAAATGAATTAAAGCTGTCACTGCCATAAGTAAAGATATCCCCGGAGGGAAGAAGTTGCAAGCAACCATTTCATTTGAAGTGTTTAAAACATAAAAGAATCTAGATACAAGGGCCTATCTCTTTCGCTCATCATTTGTATTACAAGCGGTCCTCAGGGTCCGTGGCTCAAAAAGGGAGAATTGTGTTTCAACTTTTTGTCTCCTAATTCATGCAGTGCTATTACAGCAATAAGTATATATTAAATTGTATTTTCACGTAATTTCTGTAAACAGAGAAAATGCTCGAGAAAAGAGAACTGGTAAGATTGTTCCTTCATTCAAGTAATTCATTTCCTTCCCTATTCCTATATCTGGATGATAATACAATAACACAAAAGGGAACTTCTGTGAATCGATTTTTTTCTCCCTTAAACCATAGGACGTTTATTCAACTATAGCTTTTATTATTGCTTCTTCTCTCCAAAAAAAAAAAAATGGTTAAAAATAAGAATAACATGTAACAATTTTAGACAAGTCATTAATATTGTAAGGAAGTAAAATACAACTAGTCATCCTAGATCAGTTAAAAGTTATACAATTTGCCACACTGAATAGGCTATACACTATTTTAGAAGTAATGCAGTATTTTCTTTAATTTTTATCATTATACTTAACAATGTCTTGTGTTAGATGTACTCTCCAGAATAAAAACCACCATACCACGTTCCTCACACAGAAAGTTTGACAATTAGAAATGAAGGAAAAGTCATTGCCCATTTCGTTCTGTAAAAAAATATAGAAATACTTCAAATGTGTACCAGGTGTATTCGCTCCTTTCGCCTGGAGATATAGAGTTTGACAAGTAAATTGTAGATTATGAATACAGGGTAAAAAAGAGAGTGTACTTAGATTCCGAATCAGTCCTCTAGACGTATACGTACCAGGTTTGCTATATTTTATAATAGAATAAGGAGATGAGGGTAGAATACAGTGCATTATTCCCTTTATTCAACGATTGAATAGTTTTATTTAAGATATAAAGATAAAATCTGATGAGTTATTTATAAAGGTCACTTAAAAACTTGTAATAACTGTCAATATGAAGACATAACTACTAAAGATTTCTTAGATGTTACTGTTGTAAATTTCATATTTAGATCGGGATAGATATAGGAGCACAATAGGCTCATATTTAGAAAGTGTATCGTAAATCAAGTATTTTATGTTAATGTTTATGGGTTTGCTGAAGTTAAAGTTACAAAAATATAGAGCTTGAAAACGACAGTTATAACTATCACCAAAGTTATGCTTGTATCAAATTACACACAAACCGACAACCTGGTGTATGAAAAAAGAAAGAAAATATATCATGCGTGATAATATGGGTAAACTAATGATTTCTGACTTCAAACTAAACAGTAGTAACTGGTTTATTACATTTTTTCGTAAGGGCCCCAAGCATCATCATACCAACTTATATATTTAAGTATTTCAGAGCATTTGCTAAATTTAACTATCCGAGTTGTTTGACCGAATAATTGTCAGCGTTATACACTTTAAAACGGAGGCGGAACTTTTTTTTTGGCTCAAAGGCATTTATTTTCAGAGTTTTCAGTCTTCCAACTAAAGTGATTGTGTATTTTACCGAAATTTTAGTATAGGAAACGATATTGGGAGAGTCCGCACGTAAAAGAGAAAGCGGTATGAAATAATTACTGGAAGTCGTCATTATTTCTTAACTCATACCTATAGGGCAGAAAAAGAAGATTCCTATTCATACGCATAAGAAGCGTATGTGATTGATAAAAAATGTCACGTTAAGATAGAAGTGAAGAGAGTTGACGCGCGTGACTTAAGAGTAGAACATAAAAAGTGATGCGGATAAGTGTTATGATTAAGCTGTTGGGTAATCCAAGAAAAAACAAAAACAGCACGTTGTAAGATGCGACAAAGTACTGAGGAAGAAAACTATTATTTAAAGCGTGCGTTGAACCAAGAATATCACTTACAATTGTCTGATATATAAATTTTGTACATAGCTCCAGAAGCGGTTGAATTGTAACACAAGTTTTATTTTCTGAACAGGATATCTGAATAAAAGAGCCACTCTTCAACCCTGCAGTTTCTCTGGACATGCCTATAATTAAATAATGTTTAAGAAAAAAAAATTAAGTAAATAAATACAAAAGAATATGAAAAATATTGTATTTTTGCTGATCAAACTAGCAAAATGTTCATACACGTTCACCCATTTATTCTAATTCTCAAATTAAATATATGATTTTGACCCGTCAAAAAATTTGTGTTTGGAGATTGTTTGTTTGTTATGGATTTCGCGCAAAGCTACACGAGGGCTATCTGCGCTAGCCGTCCCTAATTTAGCAGTGTAAGAATAGAGAGAAGGCAGCTAGTCATCACCATTCACCGGCAACTTTTGAGCTACTCTTTTACCAACGAATAGTGGGATTGACCGTCACATTATAACGCCCTCGCGGCTGAAAGGCGAGCATGTTTGGTGTGACGGGGATTCGAACCCGCTACCCACAGATTGCGACTCGAGCACCCTAACCACCTGGCCATGCCGGGCCTGTTTGAAGATATCCTTTTGTTTTAGCGCAAAGCTATACAATAGGCTATTTGCTCTCTGTCCACTGCGGGGAATCGAATCCCGGATTTTACGTAAACTTGCCGCTTGTAGACGGTGATATAATAATGAAATTTTTTTGTTAAAATTGTATACATAAAATAATATTCTATTTTATTTTATTCTCATACAGTAAACGTCTCATTACTATGGAAAAACAAGACTTTGCCAATACTATTGCTCCCCCCCCCCCAGTGGCACAGCGGTATGTCTGCGGACTTACAACGCTAGAAACCGAGTTTCAATACTTGTGGTGGGCAGAGCACGGATAGCCATTGTGTAGCTTTGTGTTTAATTACAATACTATTAATATTAGAAGAGAAGCAATGTTTTAGATGATTAAATTTTCTTGAGTTTTTTTTTAACTGCGCTATTGCTTAAATAATAATAATACAACATTTTTCTCTATATTGGAACTTACATAGTAATTACATTCATTTTCAAGTCCCGATCCAAACCTCATCACACATAGCCTTCTGCTATTTTGATGTCAAAACCTAAAATACTATGTTATTTTATTAACAAAAATAAAATTACCTTTCCATTGTGTCACAACATGGTTGTAACCTGAAAAAATAGTAACAGATGGATAAACATCTAGAAATACGAATTAAAACATTTAACTGTTTATTCCATATGAACCTTATTATAAGCCAAACAGTGGTTTTGACAATCTAAATATCAGATTTTACGTTTATAATTTTGCTCAGATAGTATATTTGATTTTCTTTGTAGTTAAAACACAAAGATACACAAAGAGCTATTTGTGCTCTGCCCACCATGGGTATCAAAACCCGGTTTTTAGAGTTGTAAGGCCCCTCAGTGGCACAGCGGTATGTCCGAGGACTTACAACGCTAGAATCCGGGTTTCGATACCCGCGGTGGGCAGAGCATAGATAGCCCATTGTGAAGCTTTGTGTTTAATTACAAACAAACAAGCGTTGTAAGTCCTCGGACATACCGCTG